AGCCCGATGCGGGACTCGATCCTGGGACTCCAGGATCATGACCTGAGCCGAAGGCAGTCGCTTAACCAACTGAGCCACCCAGGCGCCCTGGAGTTGATTTCCTTAACTGCAATTCTGGCCTCCTACAGAAGATTGCCGTAGAAGCACCAGATGGGATAGGATCAGTAATCCCCATTGCCTTGATTACTCCCTCTTGGCCATACCCTCTCACCCTGCCTTGTCTCCCAGTGCTCTTTCCTGCTTCTCTCACTGGGACAAATAGTTTTTCTATTGTTCATGTTACCATGCTCCCCAGAAGACTGGATGTGGAGTCAATTCCTTATTTTTGGTTCATTGATCCAGGAAAAAGAACATAATGACCAATTGGAAATGAAGCAGATGAGTTTATAGGAATAGATGTATTTCTTTAGGGTAACTGGAATCTGGCTGCAGGTAAGTTTGTATGGTCTGACTAACAGGATAAATCGGTTTTGTCTGGATTTATGTTTGAATCTATAGCTGTTACTTAATTCTGAGTCTACCCTCTGGACTTTCACTCTTTTGTCACCCTTTGTTAACAAAACCTAGTTCCAGTCCCCAAATGTATCTTATGTGGAAGAATGGTATTCTTATAGACTACATTTGGAGATATCTGGATATTCTGATATTCTTTGCTGACTAGTGACATTGACTCCAAAAAAATTAAATCACCTCACTGGTTTAAGTTAGGGGTCAGAGCAAGAGTGATAATCTAACCTGAGTCAGGGAGGTAGGGGTTGCTGGAAAGTCCTAGTCTCTGATAGAAGCATCTATGTTACCTAAGCTGGGAACTCTGGATGTGTTCATTATCTCTGTCCTTAATCATTCCCATCCTGAAGTTTGAAAGATCAATTTACTAAAGAATCTCTAAAGGAAATTTGATGGGGAGTATTGAAAAGAAAATAAAAACTGTAAATTTGAGCTGACCCAGAGCCAAATGAATGGAATTTCCATAAATAAACAAAGTTATAGATGCCATTTGCCAGTACAAAAAGTGAACTCATGTTAAGCAAAATAGAAAGAGGAATGTTTAGTTTTCCAGAACTCTAGACCTGTGCTGTGCAATACAGTATACATCCAGTCCATGTGTGGCTATTGAGTGCTTGAAATGTGGCTAGTCAGAATTAGAACGTGCTGCATGTGTAAAATGTACTTGATTTTGAAGACTTAATGCAAAAACAAAAACAAAGAATGTAAAATAGCTCTTTAATAGTTTTTCATATTGATACATGTTCAAATGATAACACTTTGGATATATTGAGGAAAATAACATATTATTAAAATTAATTTCATGTGTTTCCTTTGAGTTTTTTTAAGGTAGCTACTAGAAATGTGAAATTATGTATGTGGCTCACAATGTATTTCTATTGGAATTGCTGCTATAGATTATATAGCAAATATGGAAACTGATAATGTATTAGGCAAAATAAAGGAACAAATTTATTTCTTCCAATTTCAAAATCTGCCTTCAAATATTTACAATTACCTTACCTTCTTACCTCTCAGGAAAGACAGGGAAGCTGGCTCTAGGAGGGCCAAACACTCATTAGGACTACTGCCATTGTTGATAAAAATTGGCTTATTTTGGGCATCCTCAGAGCATGGAAAACAAAGTGTCACTGAACATGTCACTCAATGTTCTGAGATAAGCCTTAGCATGACAGCCATATAAAAATTTATCTCAGAAGTGTCTTAAATTCTCATAACTGGTTAGGGTGTACCAGACCAGGAGTCCATGTGAATCTGCTCAATCTGGGTTTGTGACTGATGGAGAATCCACGTGGAATCAGATGAAGACGGCAGTTGCTACTATCCCTCACCCTTTGTAGTAGTGTTGGACCAAAATTGCTGACTCCTGCAATTTCTTGTTCTTATCCCAACCACCTGCCTGACATTAGGAGACTTTTTCATACCTTCTTGTCTCAAAGTGTATTCTTTTTTAGACTTCTCTAAGATGTTATTTCCTATATAAATGGTAGTCATGACTCTATTGAAGTCTTTAGGTACTTCATGGTGATACATGTAGTCCTGATTTCTCCTTTGCTAGTGATGTCATCTCTTGAAAGAGGGACAGGGGCATGCATTTGTGTAGGGCCTATGGTTGATCTGCTCTAGCAGCAGAGCCTGCATATGTGTCTTGGTATAGTGGGTAGTAGTAGTATTGTAGATAGCTGTAGATTCAGACTTCATAATTTCAAGGCATGGCTTCACCACTGTGATTTTAATAAAGACTTTACTTACCTTTGCCTTTGTTTCCTCATCTGTAAAATTGGACTAACAATGGTGTTTTATTATAAGGAGGATGATCATGTAATTTATCAACCTCTTTGGGAAACTACTAAGAGTGTGTAAGGTTTTAAATGGGAATTATTCAAGGCAAACAGGAAATATGGTCATTCTACTATCATCCTACTTACAGGATTTTTAACAGGATGGATGGGTTTATATTTATAAAGTAGTTAGGAGGGGATTATGCTAAATGAAATAAGTCAAGCAGAGAAAGACTATTATCATATGGTTGCACTTATATGTGGAACATAAGGAATAGTGTAGAAGACCACAAGGGAAGGGAGGGAAAACTGCATAGGAAGAAATCAGAGAGGGAGACAAACCATGAAAGACTCTGGACTCTGGGACATAAACTGAGGGTAACAGAAGGGAGGGGGTTATGGGGATGGGGTAACTGGGTGATGGGTATTAAGGAAGGTATGTGTTGTGATGAGCACTGGGTGTTATATGCAACTAATGAATCATGGAACATTACATCAAAAACTAATGATGTATTATATGCTGGCTAACTGAACATAAAAAAAAAGAATAGTACCAGGCACTTAACTATTATTATTTTTAAATGGTTCTATGAAAAATAAGTTACTTCCCCATGGGTATTCATATTATTTGGATGGATTTATTCTTGTCTTACCTTTCAAGGTTTTCTGAAGTGTCAGTAGTGATTAGGACACTTTACATGGCACCACCCAGCAACTACTCCACTGCTCCAGTCTCTGAATTCCTCCTCATCTGCTTCCCTAACAGAGTTGGCAGCACTGCCCCTCAGCCTCCTCTTCCTCCTGGCCATGGGGGCCAATGCCACCCTGCTGATCACCGTCAGGCTGGAGGCCTCTCTTCATGAGCTCCTGTACTACCTGCTCAGCCTCCTCTCCCTGCTGGACATGGTGCTCTGCCTGACTGTCATTCCTAAGGTCTTGGACATCTTTTGGTTTGACAATAAATCAATCAGTTTCACAGCCTGCTTTCTCCAGATGTTCATCATGAATAGTTTCCTGACCATGGAGTCCTGCACATTCATGATCATGGCCTATGATGGCTATGTGGCCATCTGCCACCCACTACGATACCCATCCATCATCACTGACCAATTTGTGGTTAAAGCTGCCATCTTTGTTGTGGCCCAGAATGGCCTTCTTACTATGCCAATCCCCATACTTTCTTCCCAGCTCAGATACTGTGCAGAGAACATCATCAAGAACTGTATCTGCACTAATCTTGTCTGTGTCCAAACTCTTCTGTGATGATATCACCTTCAATCAACTCTACCAGTTTGTGGCAAGCTGGACTCTACTGGGCTCTGACCTCATCCTAATTGTTCTCTCTTACTCCTTCATCCTGAAAGCTGTGCTAAGGATCAAGGCTGAGGGTGCTATGGCCAAAGCTCTATGCACTTGTTGTTTCCACTCATGCTCATCCTCTTCTTTAGCACAGTCCTGCTGGTTCTGGTCATCACTAACCTGGCTAGGAAGAAGCTTCCCCCAGATGTCCCCATCCTGCTCAACAACCTGCACCACTTCATCCTGCCAGCTCTGAACCCCATTGTTTATGGTGTGAGAACCAAGGAGATCAAGCAGGGAATCCAGAAGCTGCTGAGAAGGTTGTAAGAGGTAAAATGGGTGAGAACTAACCTGGGGAATTTAAATTGATAATGAGGAATAGTTTTCATGATCCATAGGAAGTTTAAATAGTTACTGCAGGAATAAGTTTGGATTTTGCATTCTCCAAATTTTCAGTTGATTATGGGGATATTCATATCCTGACTCCTGTTCTCCCTGCACTGACTGGAATCTTAGTTTTTTGCATTCTGGAGTTATCTGGAAGTTTACTTTGACCGCATCTGTGTGAAAGAGACTTGTCAAGTCATAATTACAGGAACTTAATTAGAGTGAAACTGTTTTCAAATAAAGAAAAAATGGTATTCTAGTCACTTTCAGTGCCTCTCAGTTTCCTCAATTGCTTAATACTTAGATACCTATTAGACCACTTGGTTCTACCTGACACAATTCAAACTGGTTTTGTGTCATGAATGGATCTCCTGTGGAGATACAGAAGTTGGCTCTAGAACTTTGATTCTTACAGTGAGGGAATGACATATATCACCCACTGCCTCCTCTAAGCCCTGCCAGATATTGTTAATATATTTATCTAATGCCACTTCTCTGGAGTATGAATTTCCTGGCGTTCTTATTTTTAATGAATTAAAAAATATTAAGATGACTCATTTGTGTGTGTGTGTGCACTTTGTTTTAAGTGAAAGTGTGTGTCCTGTTTTCAGATGTGCTTTACTAACTTGTGTCTTCATCTTCTCCTATCTCACTTTTCCATCAGATTTCAGGCACTATCTGCATCCCCACTTTTTCCTGCTTATCTTAGATACACAGTTAAATTGACCTATTCATTCTACTTTCAGCTCTGTTGTGTCAATCCTCATAGCTTGTGCTGGTGATAGCATAGCAACCTCTGGGATCCAGGCATCCGTATTAGTGGGTTATTTGAACAAGGACAGGTGGGTTTAATTCTTTGCAGTTCCCTTCCTGACCATGCCCTGAAAATGGTGGGGACTCAGGTATTGGACAGTGTTTCCTGGGATTAATTTACATTGGCAACAGAGTCCCCTTTTGGATACTGAGAGCCTCACATATAAGAACCATTTGAGAATGTCTTCTAACATAGCTGATCTATGATGATGCTAGTCATTCTTGGGGGATTTATAAACTAATTTATCATTCTTAAAGTATTGGCTTTCACCAAAATAATAGCTTTGATCCACTCTCTCTTCTCTCTTCCACAGCTCCAAAGACTGATCCTAACCAAACACTGTCCTATTCACCCATCATTCCAGTTGCTTCTAGCTCATTATTTTCAGATTATACCCACTGATATTTTTCCTTAAAGTCTATGCTCAAGAATCTTCTTCCACATAGAAAACCAGTACCAGTGTCGTCATTTGACAAACTGCCAAGTCTCAATTTAAACTCCACGTACTTTACAGTCCTTCCCTTTATTCACCCCAGCAGAAGTAATCTATCTTAAGCAACATGTGTATCTCCCTCTGACACTAGATTATGAATTCCTGAGTCTGTTGAGAGTTTTATTCGTCTTCTTAACTTTATATACTTAGGGCTGGTAGCATAATTATTTACATATTTTAGTTATTTTTTGTTGAACTAAAGTGAATAATTCATACATACACATCTTGTTTCTTATTTCCTCTGAAAATTAGGGGAAGGATCAAGTTGTTTATATAATGTATTCTCCAAAGCACTTTCCAAAAAACCTTACATAACTCACAGTTCAAGGTGATTTTATATAACATAGTACCTAAGACTGCTTCTCTTGGATGAGATAAGAATGAATCTTTATTTATTTGAATCCCAGGTATACATTGGCCACTGACTAGATGTGTAATTTTTGATTCACTGATCTGAGCTCTCATTTTCTCATTTAAGAAGACTGATAATGGGCCTTTTATTATGTAATTCATCTGATTATTGGGTGACCTACTCTATGGAAAGTTCTTCAGCCAGAGACCAAAACATGCTAATAGCTTATAAATGGGAACCCGTTTTATTATTTTCCTGTAAACATTGATTTCTCTCATGTCTTCAAAAGAAGATGCTCTTCATTATCTTATACACCATGAGTATTTCAGAGATCCTCTGCCCTGCCCTGGGTGTCATTCCTGGTTTCCAGTGCAATTTCTTGATTATTGTACATCACTAACTTATAAAATCCCCTCCTTATTTAAAGCTCACGATGTTGTGCCATGGCACCCTCAGTCATTCCTTGTTCTAAGTCATCTTTTAAAATCTTGGTCCTGCTGTCTCATTTCAGATGTTGGCAGTTGCTTGAGTCTGGTTGGAATGCATCCAGACTAAAAACACCTCTCTTCACAATGAAACACTGGAGAAATATCAAGTGAGTCAGTGAGGAACATGTGCTCACAGATTCACTACATGTATTTCTACAATTTTTCATGTTACTATTTCATTTTTTTAAATTTTATTTTATTATGTTATGTTAGTCACCATACAATACATCATTAGTTTTTGATGTGGTGATCCACGATCCATTGTTTTTGTATAACACCCAGTGCTCCATGCAGTACACGCCCTCCTTAATACCCATCACCGGGCTAACCAATCCCCCCTCCCCCCCTCCCCTCCTAAACCCTCTTTGTTTCTCAGAGTCCATAGTCTCTCATGGTTCATCTCTCCCTCCTATTTCCCGCTCTTCATTTTTCCCTTCCTTCTCCTCATATCCTCCATGCTATTCCTTATGTTC